CATTCTGAACTCCACCAATGATGGAATTGAACCAAATATGGCACACAGAACTCCCACAATGAACAGAAAATACATATCAACTAGCTGTCCCCTGCCACGTGTTGCTGTGGCCGAGTCTGGTGATCTGGAAAATAAAGTAATGAGAAAGTGCTGGTTTTTAATATATGTAATTCCTTTATGCTTGTAGGTAAAGCAGTATTTCTTGCTGTTTCTTTGTCAGTGTTGATGTGGAGATTGTATGGTTTGCCTACTCGGAAACATGCAACATATATTTGTCCTTCTTTAGGCGTCCCTTTCAAATCTAGGATATTATATCTGTGTGTGTGTGAATCATATATATCTATCTACATCTATGGCTGAATGGCTCTTTGTCAGGAGGGCTTTGATTGTGTTTTCTTGCCCTGGTGAAGGGAGTTGGACTGGATGACCTTAAGTATTTTCTGTTGGTCATGGGGCTTCTGTGTGGGAAGTTGGCCCCAAATCTGTCATTTGTGAGGATCAAAATGCTCTTTGATTGTAGGTGAACTATAAATCCCAGTAACTACAACTCCCAAATGTCAAGGTCTATTTACCCCAAACTCAATCTGTGTTCATATTTGGGCATATGGAATATTTGTGCCAAGTTTGGTCCAGATCCATCATTGTTTGAGTCCACAGTGATCTCTGGATGTAGGTGAACTACAACTCCCAAACTCAAGGTCAATGCTCACCAAACCCTTCTAGTGTTTTCTACTGGTCATGGGAGAACTGTGTGCCAAGTTTGGTTCAATTCCATCGTTGGTGGGGTTCAGAATGCTCTTTGCTTATGGGTGAACTATAAATCCCAGCAACTACAACTCCCAAAAGACAAAATCATATTTTTTGAGTGATGGTTACTCCTTGTGTTGTGAGACGTTTTGTTGCCAAAATTGGTGTGATTTCGTTCATTGGTTCTTTTGTTTTTAGGGTACTCATTATACACAGAGCATTTATATAGTGGTTCTCAACCTTCCTAATGCCGTGACCCCTTAATACAGTCCTTCATGTTGTGGTGATCCCCAACCATAATATTGTTTTTCATTGCTACTTCGTAACAGTCATTTTACTACTGTTATAAATCATAATGTAAAAATCTGATATGCAGGATGCATTTTCATTCACTGGACCAAACTGGGTACAAATACCCAATACACCCAAATGTGAATGCTAGTGAGGTTGGGGGAGGATTGATTTTGTAATTTGGGAGTTGTAGTTGCTGGGATTTATAGTTCACTTATAATCAAAGAGCATTCTGAACTCCACCAGCGATGGATTTGAACCAAACTTGGCTCCCATGACCAATGGAAAACACTGGAAGGGTTTGATGGGCATTGACCTTGAGTTTTGGGAGTTGTAGTTCACCTATATCCAGAGAGCACTGTGGACTCAATCAATGATCTGGACCAAACTTGGCACGAATACTCAATATGCCCAAATGTGAACACTGGTGGAGTTTGGGGAAAATAGATCTTGACATTTGGGAGTTGTAGTTGCTGGGATTTATAGTTCATTACAATCAAAGATGCAGATGCAGATGCAGATGCAGACTGTGACCAGGAAATCAGAAGACACTTACTTCTTGGGAAGAGAGCAATGTCCAGTCTTGATAAAATAGTAAAGAGTAGAGACATCAGACTGGCAACAAAGATCCGCCTAGTCAAAGCCATGGTATTCCCTGTAGTCACCTACGGATGTGAGGGCTGGACCTTAGGGAAGGCTGAGCGAAGGAAGATAGATGCTTTTGAGCTGTGGTGTTGGAGGAAAGTTCTGAGAGTGCCTTGGACTGCGAGAAGATCCAACCAGTCCATCCTCCAGGAAATAAAGCCCGACTGCTCACTGGAGGGAAGGATACTAGAGACAAAGTTGAAGTACTTTGGCCACATCATGAGGAGAAAGCAAAGCCTATAGAAGACAATTATGCTGGGGAAAGTACAAGGTAAAAGGAAGAGGGGCCGACCAAGATGGATGGATGGCATCTTTGAAGTGACTGGACTGACCTTGAAGGAGCTGGGGGTGGTGACGGCCGACAGGGAGCTCTGGCGTGGGCTGGTCCATGAGGTCACGAAGAGTCGGAGAACGAGGGATTTATAGTTCATTACAATCAAAGAACATTCTGAACTCCACCAATGATAGAATTGGCTCAAACTTCCCCACATGGAATCCCCATGACCATCAGAAAATACTGTGTTTTCTGATGGTCTTTGGTGACCCCTCTGACACCCCTCGCGACCCCCTCAGGGGTCCCGACCCCCAGGTTGAGAAACACTGATTTAGATAGATAGATAGATAGATAGATAGATAGATAGATAGATAGATAGATAGATAGATAGATAGATAGATAGATAGATAGATGATTGGTTGGGGGGGGGGCGCCAAAATACTGTTTGCTTACCTTTGAAAATTACCTAGGGCCGCTTCTGGGAACTACTAAGCTAGAGCAAAGGGGTGGCCCCGCCCACTCCCTCTCTGGCCCCGCCCCTTCCCTGGCGGCCCAGTAGAAAGAGCAGTCAGAGCAAAGCGCTGGCCGTGGTCCCGCCCCCTCCTTGCTGTATTGAGTACCAATAGAAAGAACTGCCTGTCTAGAGCGAAGGGATGGCCCCGCCCACCTGTCCTCCAGCTGTTGTTGCTGCGCGCGCAGGCTCGCGGCCTGGTCTTGTAGGCAGGCGGCCTGGCGGTGGTCTTGGCGCTGGGCCTGGCGGGCGGCGTGGAGCTGGGCCTGGAGCGCGCGGACCCCCTCGCCGGCCCCCTCCGGCTGCTGCTGCCGCTGCTGCTGCTGCTCCTCTTCCTCCTGGGAGACGCGGAGCAGGAGGCGCCCGTTCTGGAGCTCAAGAATGCGGACCTGCTCGATGTAGGCGGCCAGGCGGTCGTTGAGGCGCCGCAGTTCGGCCTTCTCCTCCCGGCGAGAGAGGCGCCGCCGGGACGCTGTGGTGGAGCAGTCCGCCATGGCCGGTGACAGAAGAGGAAAGCGTCAGGAGGGGCGCAAAATGGCCGCGGAACGGCCCCTCGCCTCGCCCCTTTCCTCCCGAGGGCGGGACCTACGGGGGACTCCATTTCCCAGCAGCCCCGGCGGGCGCGCCCAATGGCCCGAAACTCTGGGAGGTGGAGTCCCTAGCGGTGGGCGGGGCTAATGGGGCTGACTGACAGGCAGGCAGGTCCCGCTCCCAACCCTTCTCTCCCTCCTACACCTGCTGCCTTTGGACAATGGGCGTTTCATTGGGGAAGGGCCTCTTGGAAAGGAAGGAGAATAGGAAGAAGAAATAGAGGAGGGAGAGAAGGAGAACGAGGAAAAGAAGAGGAGGACAGAGAGAAGAGAAGTTAGAGAAGAGGAAAGTGGAGAGGAGGAATAGAGGAAGGAAGGAGGAAGAAAAAGGGAAAGAGAAAATGAAGAGGAAATAAAGGAAGAGGAAAAGAAGGATCACATCAAAGAGTTGGAAGAGACCTCATGGGCCATCCAGTCCAACCCCCTGCTAAGAAGCAGGAATATTGCATTCAAATCACCCCTGACAGATGGCCATCCAGCCTCTGCTTAAAAGCTTCCAAAGAAGGAGCCTCCACCACACTCCGGGGCAGAGAGTTCCACTGCTGAACGGCTCTCACAGTCAGGAAGTTCTTCCCCATGTTCATGTGGAATCTCCTTTCCTGTAGTTGGAAGCCACTTAGGTCCCCAGCGTTGCCCGAGTTATTTGAAAAAGTAATAGGTTTTTTTTATTATTTCATAGAATCATAGAATCAAAGAGTTGGAAGAGACCTCATTAGCCATCCAGTCCAACCCCCTGCCAAGAAGCAGGAATATTGCATTCAAATCACCCCTGAGAGATGGCCATCCAGCCTCTGTTTAAAAGCTTCCAAAAAAGGAGCCTCCACCACACTCCGGGGCAGAGAGTTCCACTGCTGAACGGCTCTCACAGTCAGGAAGTTCTTCCTAATGTTCAGATGGAATCTCCTCTCTTGTAGTTTGAAGCCATTGTTCCGCGTTCTAGTCTCCAAGGAAGCAGAAAACAAGCTTGCTCCCTCCTCTCACATATTTATAGTGAGCTTCCTCTCACATATTTATACATGGCTATCATATCTCCAGAAGGACAGAAAGAGAAAAGTACGAGAAGGAGGAAAGGGGAGAAAAAGACGAAATGGAAATAGAGAAGGGGAAAAAAGAGGAAAGAGAAGAGGGGAGGAGAGAACGGAGGAGAGGAGGAAGGGAGAAGAGAAAGAAGATGAAAAGGAAATAGAGGAGGGAAGGAGAAGAGGAAAGGAAGGACAGAAAGAAGGGGGAGAGAATGAAGTGGAAAGAGGAAAGGAGAAGAGAGAAAGAAAAGAGGAAGGAGAAAGAGGAAAGGAGAGAAAAGAGCAGTCAGATGGGATTTTGGCCTGCATCAATAGGAGCATAGTGTTTAGATCTAAGGAAGTAATGCTACCCCTCTATTCTGCTTTGGTTAGACCACACCTGGAATATTTTGTCCAATTCTGGGCACCACAATTCAAGAGAGATATTGACAAGCTGGAATGTGTCCAGAGGAGAGCGACTAAAATGATAAAAGGTCTGGAGAACAATCCCTATGAGGAGCGGCTTAAGGAGCTGGGCATGTTTAGCCTGAAGAAGAGAAGGCTGAGAGGGGATATGATAGCCATATATAAATATGTGAGAGGAAGCCACAGGGAGGAGGGAGCAAGCTTGTTTTCTGCTTCCCTGGAGACTAGGACGCAATGGAACAATGGCTTCAAACTACAAGAGAGGAGATTCCATCTGAACACGAGGAAGAACTTCCTGACTGTGAGAGCCGTTCAGCAGTGGAACTCCCTGCCCCGGAGTGTGGTGGAGGCTCCTTCTTTGGAAGCTCTTTTAAACAGAGGCTGGATGGCCATCTCTCAGGGGTGATTTGAATGCAATATTCCTGCTTCTTGGCAGAGGGTTGGACTGGATGGCCCATGAGGTCTCTTCCAACTCTTTGATTCTATGATTCTACGAGGAAAAGAAGAGGAGGACAGAGAGAAGAGAAGTCAGAGAAGAGGAAAATGGAGAGGAGGAATATAGGAAGGAAGGAGAAGAGGAAGGAGGAGGAAAAAAGGGAAAGAGAAAATGAAGAGGAAATAAAGGAGAAGAAGAAAGGGACAGAAAGAGAAAAGTACGAGGAGGAAAGGGGAGAAAAAGACGAAAATGAAATAGAGAAGAGGAAGAGAAGAGGGGAGGAGAGAACGAAGGAGAGAAGGAGGAAGGGAGAGGAGAAAGAAGATGAAAAGGAAATAGAGGAGGGAAGGAGAAGAGGAAAGGAAGGATAGAAAGAGAAGGAGAGAAAGGGGAGGGAATGAAGTGGAAAGAGGAAAGGAGAGAAAAAGAGGAAATAGAGCAGAGAAATAAGAGAATAAGGAAAAGAAGAGGAAAGAGAGGAGAAGAGAAAAAAAGAAGAGAAAGATAGAAGAAGAGAAAGAAAGGAGGGAAAGAGGAGAAGAGAGAAGGAAAAGAAGAGGGAGAAAGAGAAGATCGAAGGAGAGAGAGAGAAATGTGTTCCTTCTAAGGGGGAACCACGAGAAATTGGGAGAGGGAAATGCCCCAATGTATCCTATAGATAGATAGATCCCAAGAAAGGCCACACAGGAGAGACACATGGGACGGAGATGTGTCCTTGTATTGTTCATGCGCCAGTACATACAAAAAGAGGGGTGGGTTCTGTGCCAAGGAGGCCTTCTGTTAGGAGGATCTCCGTTTGTGTGTGCGCATTTCCTCTGGAAGCCCAAACAGATGCTGCTGATGCATCTCCTCCTTGCTGAACATAAACAATGCGCTCCTCCTCCTAAACAATAGGCGAGGGATTTCCCGCAGGAGGCATGGGACCCCGAGGGAGGAAAGGGTCTTGGGGGGGAGGGGGATGGATGCAAGAACATGGAGGGGCCCAACCCAAAAGGGGCCGCAAAGGGAACAGTTGGGGTATTGCTGTGCACACATAATGTACAAACACACACATCGAGGAAACACACACACACCCAAATAGGTCCATTGAATGTGGAGACGCCCCTCTCGTGTACCTGCCGCTACAAAAAGGGTCTAAAATTGTAACCCTTAAAAAGAAGGACAGAGAGAACCTTTCGAAATGCCCCCCCCCCCCCAAGTTGCATAGTGGATCGAAAACACCGGGGAGGAAGGGCAATGAGGGTTGGCGGGTGTGGAGGGAGCGTGCAAAGGCCCACCACGGAGTCATGATTGGGAGGGAGGTTCCGGTAAGGTCACGGGGTGTGTGGGCACCAACCCTTGGTCCATCTCTCGGTCCTGTCCACATGTCCCCTTGTGGTCAGATCATCTTCATGTTGAACTTGCGGGCACCTCCTTGCCCGCCGGCGGCAGAGGGCCCGTCGGCCTTGCGGAAGGAGTACTCCACAGAAAAGTGGTTCTTGTGCTGCCCGCGGCCGCGGCTCCACACAAAGAGCAGCAGGAAGCAGAAGAGCACCACCCCCAGGAACATGATGCAGCCCATGGCAGTGGAGACCAAGATGGTCTTCAGGTCCAGTGTGAACTTCAGCACCACCTGCGTTCCGTTGGCGCCAGCGCTGCTATCATTGAAGTCCCCACCGTCTGATCCTGCAAAGAGGGCAGAGCGGTTGCCCTCGGCCCCCTTGACGGCCAGTGAGGCAAAGTAGGTGTCGTTGCCCCCGGCGTTGCTGGCCACGCAGATATAGGTGCCACTGTCCTGGAGCTGAGCATGCCGGATCTCCAGGGTGCCACTGGGCAGGACGGCCACGCGTCCCCCACCGCTGTTCCCACTGCCACTCTGGGCAGGGACGAGACGGTGCTGTGGGGAGACCCAACGAACCTCAGGTGGGGGCTGCCCCTCAGCGCGGCACAGGAAGGACACCGGCTGTCCCTCGAGTGCCGTTACCCGCTGCAGGTGCCGCTCTCGGATGCGGGGCCGCTGGCATGTGAAGAACTCAAAGAGAACGGCATCTGGAAGCACCCTCAGCGCATCCCCTGGGATCCCCGGTGGGGAGGCGCAGGTGGGCAGCTGCCCATCAAAGTCCAGCGTCTTGCGGCGCTGCAGCACCCACAGCAGCCGGCAGTCACAGACCAGTGGGTTGCGGTCCAGGCGCAAGGTCTCCAGGCTGTTGACTGAGTGGAAGGCTGCCTCCTCCAAGGTGGCCAGGAAGTTGCTGGAGAAGTTGAGGAGGCGGATCTGGCGCAGACCGAAGAGGGCCCGGGGTTCGACGCTGGCCAGCAAGGCCCCTGCCAGATGCAGCTCCCGTAGGCGCGACAGGTCCCGAAAGGCCCCCCCAGGGATGGTGCGGATGGGGTTAAAGGAGAGGTTGAGGTAGGCTAGGTGGGCCAGTGGCCGCAGTGCCAGGGAGGGCACAGCCGAGAGGTTGGTGTTGGTGACTGAGAGGGAGGTCAGGTTCAGGCCTCGGAAGCCCTGGGGCGCCACCTCCTCCAGGAAGGGCCAGTCATCAATCTCCAGTGTCCTCAGGGCGGCCAGCTTCCGGAAGTTGTCCTCATCCACTGAGGGCACAGCTAAGTGCCGCAGCCGCAAGGCCTCCAGGGCTGGCAGGCGGGAGAGCGACTCGGCCGAGAGTGCAGTCAGGTTGCAGCGCTCCAGGGTCAGCTGCCGGAGTCCAGCCAGGCCGGCGAAGGCCCGGCGGGAGATGTAGACCAAGTCATTGTCGCCCAGCTCCAAAGTTTGCAGGCGGCGCAGGCCCAGGAAGGTGTCGTCCAGCAGCACCACCAGCCGATTCTCGCTCAGGTCTAGCAGCGTGAGGTTGGCCAGCTCGGCAAAGAGCCCAGGGGGCAGCAGCCGGAGCTGGTTGCCGCGCAGGCGCAGGGCCTGCAGGTGAGGCAGCCCCCCGAAGGCCCCGGGCTCCAGGCCGGCCAGTGTGTTCTCGCTCAGGTCTAGCTCCTCCAACAGTGGGAATGGGGACAGCTCCCCGGCTGTCAGGCAGCGCAGGCGGTTGCGGCTCAGCTCCAGGACCCGTGTCTCGGTCGGGATGCCCTCTGGGAGCGCGGTCAGGCGCCGCCGCTGGCACAGCACTGAACGCACCTGTGGGATACACTCGCAGCGAGCTGGGCAGGCGGACAGCGGGGCTGCGCTCAGCAGGGCCCAGTGCAGGGCCAGCAGCAGGACACGGCCCGCAGGGAGGCAGCAGCGGAGGGGGCAGCAGCGGAGGGGGCAGCCACATGGCCTCATGGCAGGGCGCATGTTCCTACGGGCAGCAGCACAGCAGCATCTCCCCACGTTCCTGCAAGGAAAGGAGAGAAGGAAACAGGGACATAAGCAGGAGGCCCAGCCCGAGGGAGGGAGAACCGTCCTGCTTCCCTTCCTTTTAGGGGGGGTGGCACCCTGCATTTGTCATGCCATTCTTTGCAGATTAGGGATTAAGTGTCCCAGCGCCACTCTCTGGCTGCCCTTGGGGTAATACCAATAACAACAACAGTAATCATGTCAAGGCTCTGCTTTGGGAAGCTAAAAATACCTTTCCCCCTCCCTCATTTCGTTTGAGGAAAGGCATCCTCTGGTGAAATGCCTCCCTTTTGTTCTCCTTCTCCCCCCTCTCTCTTCCTTTCCCTGCTCTTGTTACACAATAATCCCTTATGATTTGCATTCAGGAGGGAGGGGGAGAAAGGTGGAAAGAAATAAGAATGGAAGGGAGGGAGGAAATGAGGGAAGAAGGAAGGGAGAAAGAAAGGTGGGTGTGTGGGTGGGCGCAGGCTGAGAATGGCCCCCACCCCAGGTCCCCACAGCTGACCCACAACCCCTGCCCCGTTTCCATCTCACAGGACTTTAAAGTATTAAAAAAATAAGCCTCTTCTATGCTTTTACCTAGTGGCTCTAGCCTCTTCCAATCCCTCCCTCCCTCCTTCTCTCGCTCTCTCCCCCAGCCCATCTGATGACACCCCTGAGACATGTTTGAAACCGTATTTAGCTTATTGGGAACATTTCTCGCACGGTTGTCCTGCCTTCCTTCCCTGAGAGTCAGTCACGCTTCGCTCATTACCACAGAAGGAGGACAAGCCCTGAGGCCGGGGTTCCCTTGAGGGCAACTAGCCTGACACCCGTCCCAACACCCCATTGCCCTGTCCCTCCTCCTCCATGTCTCCCTGGGTCGGATTTGAGTCACACAGAGCCCACCCCCAAATAGAGGCTTTTTAGGCAGCCCAGCATTCCTCCAAAGCATAAGCAGCTCTGGTTTCCCGGGGGTTTAAATTGGGCGCATGGGCGGCAGGAAGGGGGAGAGGGAGAGTGGCAAAGCCGCTGCTGTCGATTATAGGATTAGAGGCAGAGAAGGGGGAGGGGCAGGCAGACAGGGAGGGCCCCGCTGTCACTCCACCCGAGGCCGAAAGAAAGGCGGGTTGCTCGTGGCACGTGCCAAAAGGGGTGGGGGTGGGGGAGATGGAAGCAGCCCCTCCAAGAAAGGGGAGCAAAAGGGAGAATGAAGGAAAGGTGGGAGGGAGGGAAGGAAATGGAGGAGGGAAGGAAGGAGGAGGATGGAAATGGAAGAGGGAGGGAAGGACGAAGCGAAAAGAGGGAGGAATGAGTGGGGAGCAGAGGAAGGAGCGAAAGAAAAGACGGAGGAAAAGAAGGAACTGAAGAAAGGTTGGAGGAAGGAATAAGAAAGGGAGGAAATGAGGGAAGGAAGAAAGGAAGGAATTGGAGGGGAGAAAGGATGAATGAAGGAGGAAGGGAGGGAAGAAAAGGAAGAGGAAAGGGAGAGAAGGAAAAAAGGAAGAGAAATGAGGGAGAGAGATAGGAGAGGAAGAAGGAAATGAAGGAGGGAAGGAAAGGAGGGAGGATATTAAGGAAGGATGGAAATGGAAGAAGGAGGAAGCGAAAAGAGGAAGGGGGGAGGGGAGGAAGGAGCGAAAGGAGAGACGGAGGAAAAGAAGGAACTGAAGAAAGGTTGGAGGAGGGAATAAGAAGGAGGAAATGAGGGAAGGAAAGGAGGGAGGGAGGGGAGAAGGAAGGAATTGGAGGGGAGAAAGTAGGGATGAATGAAGGAGGAAGGGAGGGAAGAAAAGGAAGACGAAAGGGAGAGAAGGAAAAAAGGAAGGGAAATGAGGGAGAGAGACAGGAGAGGAAGAAGGAAATGAGGGAGGGAAGGAAAGGAGGGAGGATATTAAGGAAGGATGGAAATGGAAGAAGGAAGAAGCGAAAAGAGGAATGAGGGGGGAGGGGAGGAAGGAGCGAAAGGAGAGACGGAGGAAAAGAAGGAACTGAAGAAAGGTTGGAGGAGGGAATAAGAAAGGGAGGAAATGAGGGAAGGAAGAAAGGAAAGGAGGGAGGGGAGAAGGAAGGAAAGAATTGGAGGGGAGAAAGTAGGGATGAATGAAGGAGGAAGGGAGGGAAGAAAAGGAAGAGGAAAGGGAGAGAAGGAAAAAAGGAAGAGAAAGGGAAGGAAGGAGAGAGAAATGAGGGAGAGAGATAGGAGAGAAAGAAGGAAATGAGGGAGGGAAGGAGGGAGGATATTAAGGATGGAATTGGAAGAGGGAGATAAGGACGAAGCGAAAAGAGGGAGGAATGAGGGGGGAGCGGAGGAAGGAGCGAAAGGAGAGACGGAGGAAAAGAAGGAACTGAAGAAAGGTTGGAGGAGGGAATAAGAAAGGGAGGAAATGAGGGAAGGAAGAAAGGAAAGGAGGGAGGGGAGAAGGAAGGAAAGAATTGGAGGGGAGAAAGTAGGGATGAATGAAGGAGGAAGGGATGGAAGAAAAGGAAGAGGAAAGGGAGAGAAGGAAAAAAGGAAGAGAAAGGGAAGGAAGGAGAGAGAAAGAGGGGGGGAGAATGAAGAGAAGGAGGGAGAGGGGGTCCCACCTTCTCCCTTCCTCTCTCCTTCCATCATTCTTCCCCCCTCTTTCTCTCTCCTTCCTTGGCCCTGCCTTCTTACCTGTTCCTCCTGGGCCCGGGGCCTCCTCCTCCTCTGGGCGCCTCTCTCTTCCTCCCTCCCTCCTTGGATACTGCCTTCTTCCTCCTGCTCTCATTGGCTTCCTGGCCACTCTCCCCAGGTGGTCTTCCTTCCTCCTCTCTCTTTCTCTCTCTCTCTGCTGGGGGTCCTTCCCTCCTTCCTTGGTTCAGTTGTTCTTGGTCAGGACAGGTTTGCATCTGGTTTCCTTCCTCTTCCTTGCTTCCAATGTTTCCGCGGCTGCTGCTGTCAGCCTGGCATCCTCCTCCTCCTCTTTGCTACTGGCGGAGGCAGACTAAAATTGGCAGCAGCAGCAGTTGGAAGGAAGAGGGGGGGGGGGAGCGAGGGAAGGCAAAGGCAGCCTTTCCAGGGCAAAGGGAGGAGGGGGCTTTTCTGGGGGGTCTCCTCCCTGGAAGCACCCAACAACCACCACCACAATAGAGGAGGAGGAAAGACAGGCCGCCGGGCACCACCTGTTTGAAGGAAGGGTGTGCACAATAGAGTTTGAAAAGATCCCTCAAAGGCCCAGTCCAGCCAGGCAAGAGGACACCATGCGAGCCCTCCCAGCAGACAGCCACCCGGCCTCTCTCTGCATAAGGAGGAGGGTCCATCGCATATCTCAGGTTGGGGAAGACAGGCAAATGGAAAGAGAGCAAAACAGAAGGGATGGGGCTCAATGCAAAGAGCAGGGAGATCCCACAGAAGGAAGGAAGGAGGGCGGGAGGGAGAAAGAGAGAGAGAGATGCTGGTTGAAACCAGACCCGAGCAACACTTCTCATGTATTATGCAGTCATGCATCCATGGAACATGTGCCAAGGTCAGCAGGCGGCAAACGGCTCTGGTGGGCACCAATGGCCTTATCGGCATCATCATCATCATATTATTATTATCATTGATATTTATAACCCAGGAATAACTATCGTGTTACATAGTGTTATCATCATCATTGCTATATTATTATCTTATTATTATCATTATCATCTTCTTCTCTTACTATCATTACACTATTTTACACAATTTGAAAAATGGTCTGTTCCTGGTTTGAAAGTGTTGTTTCCTGTTTCATTGTGAGGCCCTGACTGTCGAAGTCCTTGTCCTACTCCAGAAACTTGGTTGTTTTTGTGACTTCATTGGGAAACTCCAGAAAAAGGTGCTACTCCTGCTGCAGGATGATGTCCCTCCCACAAAAACAAAGTTTTGGCAGTTTAATGCACTTTTCAATAGGTTTTCTTGCCTCGTGCGATTTGCCAACCATTGCTTTAAGTCTGCCTTCTGTTTCAAGGAGGGAGGAGAGCCTTCCCAGGATTCGAACCCATGGCCCCCAAGCCAGAAAGGCCCTTCCTTCCATGTCACATTGACCTTCCTTCCACAATGACTGTGGCTTCGCAATCTGTTGCAGCCTTCTTCTGCCTTCACAGCCGTTGTAACATGTACCATGTTATCCTCCGCCTGCTCCGCCGTTGAGGTCTTTGGGTTTTCAGACTACACCACCAGTGGAACCTCACTCTGTGAAGACTGTGTGTTGATCAGTTGTGCACTGACCACCACACATTAAAAAAACTCATGCACAGGAATCTTCCAAAGAAAATAAAAACAAGCAACAAAAGTCCCATGGCGATCAGCGAGTGGCAACGGGGGCAGAACTGTGAAATCTGAAAGCCCCTAGTCACAGACTGGCACATGGGCGGTGGATACGGACTCAGTCGTTCTACCTCAAGGTAGAGACAGTTGAGTAGTTCAGCAGCTGTATCCATGACTGAGCAGCCCTTTTGAGGACCCACTCTGCTCACCCCACACTGGGAAGGGGCTAGAAAAGGTGCCCTAAACATAGTCTGCCTCTCTCATCCCTGACTGGACTGCTGCGTCCAGTGGGGTCACCACCCTGCAGCCAAAAAAGAAAAATGAAGTTGATACATGGAACGTACGGACACTGATGGACAACACTGACAGTGAACGCCCCGAACGCAGAACTGCCATCATTGCAAGAGAGCTGGGACGCTTTAACATCGACATAGCAGCCCTTCAGGAGACCCGGAGAGCAGGAGAGGGACAGCTGAAGGAAGAAAAAGGAGGCTACACCTTCTTCTGGAAGGGACTGCCCGTAGAAGACCAAAGAATGCATGGAGTTGGCTTTGCTATCAGAAATGATCTGGTGAAACATCTGACCGAAGCACCGACTGGCATCAACGAACGACTCTCAACCCTCCGAACTGATCTTGCCAAAAACCAACAAGCAACCATCGTAAGTGCCTATGCACCAACACTAGATGCTGATGAAGACATCAAGGAAAAAATTTACTGTCAGCTGGACACCGTCCTATTGGAGATACCTAAGGAGGACAAAATCATCCTCCTGGAGGACTTTAATGCAAGAGTCGGGCAAGACTTCGACCTGTGGCCAGGGACCGTAGGAAAAGGCGGGGTTGGAAGCAGCCACTTTTCAAAGCCACAAAGGTCATCTATGGACCAAGAAACCATAGCATACAGCCTCTATGCTAATCAGATGGAACTAAACTCCTGAAGGACCAAAAATCAATTGCACTACGTTGGAAAGAACACTACCAAAGCCTCCTGAACCGCAGCTCCAATGTGGCCGAAAAGGTTCTCTCACAAATCCCGCAACAACAAACCAGGGATGAGCTTGCAGCACTGCCTAGTTTGGAAGAAGTCAGCAATGCCATCAGCCAACAAAAAAATAACAAAGCCAGCGGACCTGATGGGATCCCTGCTGAAATCTTTAAAGAGGGAGGACCTGAGCTGACACAACAACTCCACCAGCTCATAGAAAACGTGTGGGTAACCGAGAATATCCCAGCATATTTCAAGGATGCCACCATCATCACCCTCTTCAAAAAAAGGGGAAAGAACAAACTGCAGAAACTATCGTATCTCCCTTCTAACCTCAGCTGGGAAAATCCTCGCAAGAATCCTTGCAAACCACCTTCTACCCCTCTCAGAAGACACCCTCCCAGAATCCCAGAACAGCTTCCGCCCCTCCAGAGGAACAGTGGACATGATCTTCACTGCACGTCAGCTCCAAGAAAAATGCAGGGAACAAAATCAACCTCTGTACATGGCATTCATCAACGTTGCAAAGGCATTCAACACAATAAATCGCAGCACTCTCTGGACCATCCCCCAAAAAATTGGGTGCCCTAACAAATTTGTGAACATCCTGCGGCTCCTCCATGATGACATGATGGCAACAGTCTTGGACAGCAATGGCTCCCAAAGTGACCCATTTATGGTGGAATCAGGTGTCAAACAGGGATGTGTTATTGCCCCAACTTTATTCTCCATCTTCATCGCTATGATACTTCACCTTGTTGACGGGAAGCTTCCCACCGGAGTGGAAACCATCTATCGGACAGATGGCAAGCTGTTTAACATCAGCAGACTGAAAGCCAAAACCAAGGTTACAACAACATCTGTTATAGAACTCCAGTATGCTGATGACAATGTCATCTGTGCGCATTCAGAAGATCTACAAGCCACTCTAAACACCTTCGCAGAAGCATACGAGAAGCTCGTCCTGTCATTGAACACTGAGAAAACCAAAGTGCTGTTCCAGCAGTCACCAGCCAACACCTCTCCAATGTTGACCATTTCCGCTACCTTGGCAGCTACCTCTCCACCAAAGTCAACATCGACACTGAAATACAACACCGCCTGAGCTCTGCGAGTGCAGCATTTTTCCAAATGAAGCAGAGAGTGTTTGAGAACCAGGACATCCGTAGAGATACCAAGGTGCTTGTTTATAAAGCTATTGTCCTCCCAACCCTGCTATATGCCTGCAAAACATGGACTGTCTACAGACGTCACATGCAAATCCTGGAACGATTCCATCAGCGCTGCCTCCGGAAAATTCTGCAAATCTCCTGGGAAGACAAGCGGACAAGCATCAGCGTACTGGAAGAAGCAAAGACCACCAGCATCGAAGCGATGGTCCTCTGCCTTCAACTCCGCTGGACCGGCCACGTTGTCCGGATGCCTGACCACCGTCTCCCAAAGCAGTTGCTCTACTCCGAACTCAAGAATGGAAAATGGAATGTTGGAGGACAGGAAAAGAGATTTAAAGATGGGCTCAAAGCCAACCTTAAAAACTCTGGCATAGACACTGAGAACTGGGAAGCCCTGGCCCTTGAGCGCTCCAGCTGGAGGTCAGCAGTGCTGTAGAATTTGAAGAGGCATGAATGGAGGGCGAAAGAGAGAAACGTGCCAAGAGGAAGGTGTGTCAAACCAAACCCAACCGAGACCAGCTTCCACCTGGAAACCAATGCCCTCACTCAGGTCCGTTTTGGGGGGAGCTGAGTTTGATTCTGGGCGGAGAGGGGCTGAGTCTGAGTGAAAGAGGGTCTACCCTAGCAAACCTTTTGTATCGTTACCCCAATACCCCCATGCATATGGGATGTATTGAGCATGGTGATCAGATCATGATATGAATAAACATAACAGTTTAAATAATGCACCAGTAAGGCCTTTTTCGCGAACCACCATGAGAACCCCAACCAAGACCGCCTTCCACCTGCAAACCAATGCCTCTACTGTGGGAGAAGATGCAGGTCAAGAATAGGGCTCCACAGTCACCTATGGACCCACAAGAATACTGATCCTGGAAGACTATCCTACTCGTCCAACGAGGGATCGCCTAAGAAAAAGAAGATTTTCCTTCCCTCCCCTGATTCCTTTTTTCCTCCTTTTCTTCCTTCCCTCCCCTCCCCTGCTTCCTTCCTTTCTTCTTTCTTCCTCTCCTTCGTCCCCTCCTTTTCTTTCCTTTCTTCTCTCCTTCCTTCCTCTCTCCTCCCCTTTCCTCTTCCCCCTTCCTTTTTTCCTCTCTCTTCCTCTCTTTTCCTTCTCTTCCTTCTTCCTTCTCTCCTTTTTCCCTCCCCTCCTTCCTTCCTTGTGACATTGACCTTCCTTCCCTCCCTCCTTCCTTCCTTCCTCTCCTCCTCTTTTCTTCCCTCCCCTACTTTCTTCCTTCTTTCCTTGCCTCTTTCCTTTCTTCCTTCTCTCCCTCTCTCCCCTCCTCCCTCCCTTTCTTTCTTTCTTTCTTTCTTTCTTTCTTTCTTTCTTTCTTTCCCCTTTCTCTTCTTTTTCCTCCCTCCTCCTCCTCCCTCCCTTCCCTTTTCCTTCCCTCTTTCCTTCTCACATTGAACTTCCCTCCCTCCCTCCTTCCATCTCCTTTCTTCCCTCCACTGCTTCCTTCCTTCCCTCTTTCCTTCTCTCCTCTCTCCCCCACCACATTGACCTCCCCTCCTTTCCTTCCTAAATAGGTTTTGCTGAAAGTGGCAGGCAGGCAGCCCCTTGAGACTCAGAGGCCTATTTCAAAGAGCTGCAGCAGTTAATGAAGGGAATGCCCTGGGGACCCTTCTGCTCTGGATTTATTTGCCAAGGAGAGGAGGAAAGGGATCTAGAGACACTCTGCACAGGCTCAGAGGCACACATGCACACCACTCCCCAGCCTCCCTCAGCCAAAGGCGGGCAGAGAGAGAACATCACCAACAAGGAAGAACACACTTGTGGCCTCGCTACAACCTTTCTGCTTAAACCTGCTGCTCACAAATGCCCCAGTTGTTCAAAAAGAGAGAGAGCTCCAAATACAACCCAAGCTCATCTGT